TATATATTATTCAAAAATATTTTTGTGAAGGACCAAATGAATGCATGCAATCAAATGAAAAACAAAATGATTGTTAAAGGCATATTTTATACGTTATGGAACGTTCGACAGAAATGATATAGGTATTGTTCTTGTGACGCATTTTTTTCATATTAGAGAATATGTGATGTTGATTAACTAAATATTAAAGTTTTTAAATTGTAAAGAAGATTATTCAACTACTTTAATCCTTTATTTCCTATTAAGATATTTTCGACCCATTCATGAAATTATCTATTTGGAATATTAAAGCATTGAATCGATATGATGCTTTTAGAACATTGTGCAAAGTTTTTAATCAGTTACAAATTCGAAAAAAATTAAACTTCTTTTCATCATTCCTTGGTTAAGATATATGATTATGGGGCTGGTGCATAATTAATACTGTGAGCATAATCTGTTTGCAGAATAGTTTTTAAAAATTTCTTAATTATAGATATAAAAGTGATGTTTTTCATGACAATTTGAGTCGTTTTTTATCCATTCATAATGAGTAACATAAAAAACGATTTCTCCAGAGTTATGTTATCTTCAATACAAACTCATAAAATAATATAATCTTCATGGTAAACACTTTATTAGAACGATAAAAGATAGAAACTTGCAGCCTCTGTTATGGTCTTCCTTCTCGATGAGACTTTAACAACAGAAATGAGTGATTTCGAATTGGAATCAGAATCAAAGATTCTATATTATATAGAGAACCTCATCATATATCATCCTCTGAAATGATTTATTTTTCGAAAAATAATTCATGATAAGTAAGTTTTCAACTTTATACAGTTAAAATAGCAGTATAACTGCGAAACAGTCAATTTAACAATAAATTCAATTTTTGTGTCATTCAAAACAAATGAGTCATTGTAGAACCATTCTGCATCTCCATAGTGAAATGACTTGGCCTAAATTTAATTACGCCGATGTCATAATTAGCATTTGTAGAAACTATTCCAATGGTTGTCTCAACAATAAAGCTATTGAATGAGTACTGGAGGTAAAGGATTAAACAAGATTTAGTATCACAGTACAATAACATTTCATTTTTAAGTCGTGTCATATGTTTTGGTTGAACTTTAAAAACCGATTGGTTGTCACCGATTTTTTATCAGTTTTAAGGGTACTGAAGCTAGTCTATTTTACTTTTCATCAAAATTCTAGCTCTGAATTTTGAACTCACTCTTTATCATAGTACAATAATGATCACAGATCAGGATGAAAATATTGATTATGGTCACAAAAAGTTAGCTAGTCATTAGATGGTTTAAAATTTCAAGCTCACTTTCTGAACTACGTTTAACCAACTATTAAAAACTCCTGACCTTTCGATGCAAAAATATTAAAAAAGAATCTATTCCACTGAGATAGTTATGCGAACCATTAGCATGATACAACTGTGAAACTATCTAGATATTAGGAAATCTAAAAATATAAAGCCTAGTATAAAACTGAACTTTATAGATCATTTTATGATATTATGAAGAGTAGTATCCTTTCACGAATCAAGAAGTCTTTCAATTATGTTAAGAAATAATTTCAAATAAGACCTTACATCAAATTTGTCGACCCTTGAGAGTTACTATATGACAAATTTTTAAAAGAGTTCTTCCATCTTTCTTAGTATTAGCATATATAGAACATGACAGACTAAAATACAACTTGTTACTATTAGAAACTTCAAGAGTTATATGACTTTCAAGTTGTATATATTTGTAGAACCTCAATAACAGACTTTTTTGAAAGAACTAGTTAGTTAATTATTATGTTAAAAAGTTGTTTCAATTTAAAATTATACTGACGATTCTTTATATTACAGTTTGTATGGCATTGCATCGAAAAATTTATTTCATCTAAAGACTTACTAACGGACTACTATTGAATCTGATTGTAAATAGAAACTTACACCTTGATTCTTGATCATCGAAATTCAAATTTGTATTCTTTTTTATTCATGTAAAAGAAAATAATCTTAGATAGACTTGCTTGTTATCCGTCATCTGATTATTATTTGAAAATGAATAATTCATCTGATTTGTTTCTTTTAAATTTTTTAATTAAAATCTATCATTAATATATATTTATAGATGAATTAACAAACTATAATTCATCGAAAGATAAAGTCTCAACACACACTCGACGTATTCGTTTTGATACAATTATTTTCTGATTATCATGATTGTTTTTGACTATGAATACCACCTAGAACAACTACATAAATTTTATTACCTTCTTCAACAGCAAATAATGAAACTATCGCAATTGCTGATGAAGATATTAATCTTTCATCTATCTATTTTAAAGAAAAAAAAAGAATGTACACCATCTGATTCACAATTAAGTACAAGGGAGTGACCTATGATTGAAGTGAAAAAACAACAAACTTAAAAATAAAACTGCACCCTTTTTTCTCTATTATTGTTGTATATTCAATGTGAAAAGAAGGTATGTTCATAAGATTGAAGAATGACAAAAGACTAAAAATTTAAATGTTTTAATTTTTAATTGCATATAAATATTTCAGAAGAATTGAATGCAAAATTTTTATTTTATACTCGTAATTAATGTTGTAAATAAGAGAAGACTCGTTTGTAGAGCAAAATAAAAATCGTTCTTTAATATCTTGACAGTTTCGTGATTTTACGTTCATTCTTCTTCGAATTTAAATATTCAAGAAATTTTTTTCTTAATATATAAACTATAAACGAAAGTTATAAGAACTTTACTAGGAAATTTGAGAATGAGTATTTATTCTAAATATAAATATTTAACCTTACGAAAGAATATTTACAAATAAGACATTGAAAACTTTTATATAAATTATTCTTCATATTATATTCTACGTAGAAGTATCTTCAATATCTTGTCAAATGTTTATTCATTTTCATGGACGTTGTTTTGTAAATTGTCTTATTTGACGATCACTTTCAATAGTTACTAGCAACTCTATCGTACCTTCATCATTCATACTCATTTGTATCGAAGGCAGTGGTCCATCTAATTATTTACTTACACTTCGCCACACAATGCCAACAACAATTGATATTATTGAAAAACTAACTCCATTTTTTTATCTTGTTCAAGATGATGATGTTGTATCTGATCATTTTGAAGTAAAAAATGTTCTACATATATTTACAAAAATAGTTGAACATGAACATGTGAAAGAACTACAAGAATTTTATTATAATATTTACTTATAGCTCATCCATTGAACGTAATTTAAATATTGCTGATGAGATAACATCAGAAAACGTCTTTGTTTTTTACTAAAGATTTTTCGTGAATGATACAATGGCAAAATGAAAATCAAGCAAAATAATTTTTAAGTCAGTATAAAAAAAGAAAACAATTTCAAATAGATGTGTCAAAAAATATTCAACTTCAATCACAACTTGATTGTACTCAAACTACATGTTTTCATCTTTTGATGATTTAGCTAAAACACATGTTACTGATGTTGTAGTACTTGACACACTTCGTAAAAGTCGAATACGACATGTGATACTTGTTGGTCAACGTGGACCAATGGAAATATCATCTACTTATAAAAGAACTTTGTCAACTTACTAAATTAACTGGCTTACAATCGATGCTAAACAAAGAAGATTTTAATCGGAGTAATCAAAATATGACTGATAAATTAGAACGACTAAGAAAAAGATTAAGGCCTCCCCCCCCTCAAAAAAAGTCAATTTTCGTGAGAACTGTCAAAATTGAGATAAATACATAGGAAAATAGCCCGCCGTCTGCTCTTTCAAAATCAATAAAAATTTTTCCTAAAACCTCCATTTTTTCCCGAAATATTTCAGAATCTAAGAGAACCAGTTTTTGAAAAACCAGCGGTTTTTTGATATATCTAAAAATGTTTTTCGCTTTTTCTCAGTTCATATTTTCTCAAACGCGCAAGCAAAATTTCTCTGTCCGGGCTCTTTCAATATATTTAAATTTTTTTTTGTTTGAAAGAGCATGTTTAGATGCAGGGCACCAAAGGGTCCTTTTTTTGAAATAAGCCTTTTTATTATTGTATAAGAAACCATGTCTATAGAAAAATAGCCATTTTTTGTGATCTTTTCGAATCATTGAACTTGTGATGCCCTTTTTTCGCTTGAAAAGTAAGTATTTAAAAAAAAGGACTCCTTGGTGCCCTGCATCTTGAGATGCTCTTCCAAACAAAAAAAAAATTTTAAAATATTGAAAGAGCTCGGACAGAGAAATCTTGCTTGCCAAATGTGCTATTTTTGACCCTTGTTTGGTTCATATCTCAGTCAAACGTCAGTAAATCGAGCTGAACATTTTACCACAGCCTCCTCACTTCAGCCCCAACATATGCTCCAAATTTCAGCCCATTTGAACGTTCCTGAGCTGAGATCGATTTTTGAGGGGGGGGGGGGAGGCCTTAACCGAATTCACGTTTAAAATGGTTCGAATAAGTTTGTATTTTTGAAATTTATGATTATTTTATCTAGAATGATCAAAAGATAACGATGAACAATTTTTGGTATTTATAATTTTTGCACCATCCAAAACAATTGTTGAAAGTGTTCATTTCGAACATACAGAATTTGTAACTAGTTGTGATTTTTCTGATGAAAATCTATCAAGTCTAACAGAATGGAATTAAAGAAACAAAACCATGTGGTCTGGTCATTAAAACTATAGATTATTATGATATAATCCGCCTCTATACTACATAGTCTTGGATAAATTATTTAGGACTAGGATGTTTTCTCGACATGTTGTTGGTGTTTATATAGGAACTTCTAATTGATACTTTCTATATCAATTGATCATGGGCTGACCAATTTCGAGTAGTCTGACGAAAAATCAATACGTTCAACATCATTAATTAATATTCCACACTTATCACATTGGTCACTACAAACATCAACAAATTTGTATGTTGCATTTGCACATGCACCAGCTACATAATCATCTGCTCGAAAACTTCAAATACATGAATATATTAAAAAAAAATTAAAACAAAATATGCCAACAAGTTCTGTATCGTTGACAATTATCACAATATAATTATTCAATGTTATCATTGAAACTGTCTATAAATTTTTTAATATAAATCAAAATATCTATTGCAAGTTTCTCGTGGTATATATTTCGGTCCCAACAATGCTTTTATTTCAGTTGCTGTACTATATTCGTCAGTACCATAAATACATAGTATTGTAATTTTTCAACTGACAATACCTTAAATTTAACATTAACAATGAAAAGACGAATAAGAAATTGTTTGATTTTACCGCACAAGAAAACATCAGCATTTAATAAAGCTTCAGTAAGAATATTCAAATGAAGTACATTGTTGACGTAACGTAAAACAGCTACCATCATAATATTTCGAATATCAGGTTTTGATGTTTCATAAACAAAAAATATAATAATAATGCTGCTAGTGAATTTTGTGCGAGATTAAATTATGAAACATGTTGCAGTAGCTGTTGCTAATGACAAGGAAATTATTTTATTCAGTCTAATTTAGAAGAGACTTCTTCACCATTCATTTACTTGATGCTCCAGAAATGCAATCAGAAAGTAGTTAACTAGACGATATTGAGCCACGACCTTCGACCGTATATCAATAAAATCTGTCATTGTCTCTGATACAACAGAGAGATGTGCAACTAAAAGAGTTCTTCATCAGGATCAGTGGGCTCGAAGATCTCAATGAAACCACTTGAATGATGATCTGCGGAAGATCAAGACGTTCGAAACTAGATTTCTTGTATCTATTCGAAGGTTTTAAAGAATATTTTTATTGGATAGAGCAAAATGACACGTCTCCAAACTCTTCATGAACTTTCTTCATCGAATTGCTTTTCGAGCTCTTCGTAGATCAAAAACAAGTCGATGAAAGGAGTGCATGGAAAGTTCGGTGACGCTCTATTTTCCTCTATAAAATAAAATTTTTTTCGAAGGTCTTAATTCAACCAGTTCTGTTGGAGTCTTCGAATCTGTTACTGCTTATAGAGAATTGTTTCAGTTACACAAGTGTTTTATATTTCAACATTCATTTCAGATCATGTTTCATAAAAACATAATATCAGATACAATAGATGAATCATTTCTTATATGTTTTCATTCGATATTGATTTATTGAGCGTCGATGGTGTCTTTAATCATAGATTCAAAGTTATTCCGAAATGTAGATTAATCATCGAAAAGAAACAAAAAATGATAATAACATATCAAATTTTCTGTTTTGAGTAAAACAAAGATACTGGTTGCTTTATCAGTTTATACATTCATTGTAAAAGTATAGAAATCAAATGGAAAAAAATTAAAGGTAATATTCAACGAACTTATGTTCTTGAATGAATTGTATAAATGGCGAAGAATTCCAATGATGAGCAGTTTTCATGAACAAATCCTAAATGTGAACAAAAATTCAACTTGAAACAACGATATACTTTTCGACTGAGACGATGTTCATTTAATGAGTAATAGAAAAGTTTAGAATGGTTCCGTTTTTCGAATCTTCATTGTTTTTCAATAAAGATCTGTAGTCCTACTCAGGTTATATGAAAAATCGACTTTCGAAATCAAATTTTGCATAAACATTAGATTAATTCTTTGGGTATGTTGTAACTTTTCTAGTTCTTATTTTCTATCCTGAGATATTGAATAATCGAAATTTTTCTTTATTAACGAATCTCGTTAAGAACTTTGTTCACGCAAAGTTTGAGGTAGAAATTCTATTTTGTAGATGACTTAAGGTGAATTACGTGTTTTTATGCTGAAACATCCAGTAAAATTTCGATATGTGAAGAACGAAGGTTTGGAACAACCATATTTCGTCAGTCAACTTTTCATATTCTTATCTGACGATTGTCCTTCGATAGATGGGAAAAGTTCTTGATAAGATTTTATTTAAAAATTGATCTCGTCTTTTTAACATCTAAACTAAAAAGCAAGAAAAATTTTGATGATGTGTTGAATAATGTTCGATGATGAACTTTGTTGAGAAACTACATTGAACATTTAATCATATCCTACTTTTGCAGATGGTGACAGTTCATTCTTCGAGAATAGCAAAACATTTAGAGTTCTTTCCTCAAAGAATACTAAGATTTTTCTTCAGATAAGTACCGAGTACTTTCTTGCATCAAAACTATTATACTAAATTTGGCATACAAATGACATCAAAGAAAAATGAAAGATTCTTACAGGTACTTTATACTAATTTTTCTTATGAAGGTACTTATGTCAGCATGACTTCTACTGTAAAGTGTTATAATAAAATACTCCTTCCTGTTTTAGATATTTATTAGGGAAAGCAATAAATTTCGAAAATATTTGTTCATGAGTTATTTCTAATTTAAACATTTCATAATAGAAGTAGATGTTTGAAACAACTTCAAACTGAAATCGATACAAAAATTTTATTCGGCTCATTCTTATCTTTTTCAACTCAAAACCTAACTTTATAGCATGAAGTTAGTTCTACAGAATTTCTTATCTAATTATATATTTACATAGCAGAAAAAAAGACTGAAAATCTGTTGCATCATCAATTTAAACAAGTTATGAATGATGAAAATATTGATTTTGTTTAGTGCAAACATCAATTAATGCAAGCTTAACTCACCAGTACATAAAGGAATAATTATTGAATTGTTCATCTATTAAATTTCCTTTTGGGCTTCAATAAAGCTAGTTTTGAATTACTTTAAAAGTAATTCAGTAGAAGTCACTTTTATTTTCCTCGTAGCTACGCTCATTGAACCAAACAATGGTTCTTATTTCGTTCGTTTTTCTCATGATTTAATATACTTAGGTCTGACCAAAAGTTTTGACATCGTTAAATAACACTATAAAGATAAGGAGATATTTTTAATTTTATTTTTTCAAATGTTAGCATAGTTGCCAGTATTATTTATTCCAAGATCAATCGTTTCTAACAGTTAATTAAAGGCTTTTTTTGAACTCTTTTTCTGAAAAACTTTTTAGCTACCTTGAAAACTGTATGAACTAATCATGTTTCATTTGTTTTAAAAATTTAGCGAAATTTTGTTCGATTATGTCAGTTGCGTTGTAACATTACTAGTGATGCGATATGGATTTATTTTAGATAGGTTAGTTATAAGTCATCTAATGCTAGCTGGCATATTGAAGATGAATCGTCAAAGACTATTGCTCATGGAGACGGATTTGAATCAAAACTTTGTTTCGTATATTCTTTAAATCAAATAGTCCTGAATGTAGATAAAGGCGAGGCTGTAGGTTACAAGTATTATATTGAAAAGTGTCTGACGCCTTTTGTTAATATAATATGAAAACAAACAAAGACATCAGATTCAAAATGTTCAAAATTACTTAACGATCATCGTTGACTTCATACTCGTCCAATTTTATTAATTATTTGACAGAAGGAGACATCAATATAATGTCACATCTATCATATTTCTCAGACCTGATACTATGTAATCTATGCTTAAGTGATTGTGTCGGACGTAGTCTAACCGATTAAATAAATGAAATATGATGTGTTCATGCGGTTACCAAGGTAGCTAAAAATTTTACACAAAAATAGTTCAAAAAAAACTTTTTATTAAGTGCTAGAAAAGATTGATCTTGGAATAAATAATACTGGCAACTATCCTCAACATTTGATAAAATAAAATTAAAAATATCTCCTTATCTTTATATTTTTACTTAATGATGACACAACTTTTGGTCAGACCTAAGTATCACTAAATTCAAAACAACGAAAAAACCAATCAGAATATTCGGTCACCATACTATTTCATAAGCTGAATAAAAC